GTAGTCCTAGTTCCTATCTGACAGCCTCCGAAATTATAGGTCCATTTAATGTATAAGCTTAAATACTACACCTGTTGTTTTTGCCTATATTTATAATTTTAGATAAAACATTAACGATTAAGATACTTACCGTCAAATAGACAAAAAATTTCGTTTGTAAAACTTCTACCCAACACAATAAGTGGAATAAAATGGACATAAATCGACAACATGAACAAGGTTATAACTCACCACAACATCACATGGACAGATGTACGCTCGTCGGGCATCATATATACCTCACCAACTACAACCCATCTTTCCTAAGATAATGTGATGAACTTATATCCGTAATGTTGCTGAGCAGTTAATATCCACAACTCCTGTCGGAACAACCAAAATTCAAAAACCTTCCTCACGAGAAGTAAATATCCACAAGCAGTAGAAATCCATTAATTAATGCGTCTAAAGCTTATGTATTTTACTCCCAACAATGACATTGCAGATCAAATGAGATAAACATATCACTGATTTCAAAATAACACATCAATGAACTATAATTCAAGGATTCTGCACACAACAAAGTAATGTACGAAAATTGACTTCAAGCTTTATTTTTTTCCCAGGCACTTACAACCCATCCACCAAAGACCCGGATTTTTGTTAATGCGAAGACAATACTTCTGTATTTCCTGATGTGTTGCACTCACTGACAATCTAGCAGATTTTTCCAACTATGCACAGAAATGATTGTACATAAGTGAAAAGGCTGTTTTATACTATTGGGATTAACATTTATCAAGTGTATGTATAATCTCCAGTGTACATATTAAACATATTTTGCTATCGATTGTAAAATGTGACTGAATAATATGGTTCTATTTCTGTAACAATTTGATGATGCCTGTAAACTGGCGTCCCTCATGTACTGTACCATGAGAATAAATTTATTTATTTAAAATACTTTGTCGGTGGTTTGAGCGGAAAAATATTAGAGAGGAATATGTACACAAGATAAAAGTTCCACAAAGTTGTCTCACCACCATGCAATATCCCATTCACATATTAGTATGTGAAAATGTTGCCACTGTTAACATTTTATAAGGTGCTCGATTTTTGAAAGAAATGCACTGGGACCCACGGGATCGTAGTCACTGATAACCACCATAATGGTTAACCAGTCTCAAGAAAGCATACAACGAAAAGAGCATTGTGTCTGCACGAAAACGGTGGAAAAACGTTAGAATAGCCAAATTATACCTCACAGCCATCACACTTGCTTGCGAACTAGGCATAACTCAACCACACAGCAACCTGTACAACAGAACCTACCTACAGTAAATCAAATATACAACTAGCCTCCACTATTTTAGCCAATGGGAGGAGAAAAAGACAGAAAGAAGGTGAATTTATAACGCGATAGTGTTCATCCTCACCCAGTAATGGTTAACCAGTAAACAACGTATATTTGGACAAGTGCCATGCCGCCACTTGATTAAAACCTATCTCAGGAAGAGAAGAGCGTCCTGCGAAACTGCAAAATGGCATAAAATACAACTGTGGAAAATACATTGAAATTACATTTACTAGATATATGCAAGAAGGAGGTGGAGACTCCATGCAATGATGGTGTAAATTTGCAATCTATGATGCTAACCATATTGGTCTTAGCGTGGAAACTGTAACGTCTTCGATGGAAATACAGCTTTGCTCAAACTTCAGTGTTGTGGCGTTTTTCATCAAAGCCACCAGGCCTTAAGCAAGCAACAAATATGAACAAAGAGCAAGTTTCGACCTTAATAAAGGTCTAGGTAGTTAAGATAAGGTGGAGTATAATGGTGCGTAAACAAAACGATTATCGTGAGGTAGGTAAGTAATATTTCAGTGAGAAGTGAATTCAAAGATCTGGAAGTTTAGAACCTGTAGGACAAGCTGACCTGTAAGATGTCTCATGAATTTCTGTGGAGGCAGTGGGGCAGAATATTAACAAGAGGCTGAGCAGGCTTGTAGATGACATGAGCGGAAGAATTCTTTAAATTTAGATCTGTACAACCCTGATTGAATTTTTCTCAGGGGGGCTAGACTCATGTTTAACCCTTGAGCTGTCAAAACATGCACGTTGCTGTCCTACAGACTGGAGCGATTCACATTTGTGACCGCTACCATATCTGCTGATCAGCACGCACCACCTTAAAATTTTAATCAATAATAATACATGCTCATTTTTGTACATGAGGGACGCCAGTTTACAGGCATCATCAATATGATAAATTATACATTGCATAGTAAGCATATTTAATAATAATTTAATAAAATACATATTTTTTCCTACCTGTGTAGGACACACCAACTGTACAGGAATGGATAAGTGATATTTATATTACGTAAACTTGCCTTATGGTGAAATTACATGGTTGCTGTCGTTTTTGTCTTTGTTTTGTGGGAACAGTATGATAGCCAGTTATTCAATGCAGCACATCAAGAAATATAGAAATATTGTCTTCGCATTAACAAAAAACCCAAGTATGTTTTGGATCGATTACAAACACTTAGGAAAAAAATAAAGCTTGAAGTCATTCCCCCATATAACTTTGGTGCATGTATGGCATCGAGTCTTATTCTTGATTTATATTCAATTTGGTAATAATTTAAGATAAGCGATACACTTGTATAGTTTTGTCAGCATTTTCATCGTAGCATCACGAGTGAATTGTGCTCAATGTAGACTAATAAAAATGATGGTATATATTTTCTTATAAACGGGTGTTTTCAAGAGATGCAAGCTATTTTTACAGACCCGATCACTTATGTTATAAATTACAATCGTGAAGTATTATAAATTAATGCTTTTTTCATTGGTGTAAAGGTGTATTCTACAACTGTAATCCAGGTTGCCTCGTGGGGGAAAATAATGCGTAATTCACGACGGAATCGTAAGATATGGGACCAATAATGTTTGCAGATCATTTGTCATTGTAAATGGTCATATATCTTCATTCTTCAATGAAAAAGTCGTATGAAAGCTAAAATGGTGGGGGGAAAAAGAAGACAAAAAACGGCAACGCAAAAAAGGCAAGTGGAGTCCTCAGGGAGTGATTAATAAATATATACATATATATTCTGTGTAGTAACTGTGATTGTTTTGGTACAGTAACTAATTAGTCCCATTATGCTAACTTTTATATTATTTGTGAACTAATATTATTGTCCTGTGTAGAAATGTTTATCACGTACTTCCAATAATATAAAAATTCATAATTGTAGTCTGTTGCAACTACACGCCTAATGAACTTAAACTATCCGTGTAGGGTGAGAAAGAGGGTGTAGAAGTCAGACGCAGAAGTGCATTGTCATCTTTGGGCAGTGTATTGACTGAAGAGATGAACACTGGGAGTGTGTTTCCATCACGCACATCAGCTGGTAGTCTATTCCAAATGACTGAAAACTTATTTAAGAAGGTGTACCGCATGTAAGTCTGAGAATGCTCTATAGCAGCTAGGTTGTGATGATTTCTAAGATTGTAACTGATGACAGCGGTAGGTTCAGTTATTGGCTCGGAGGGGTGAAAGAGAAGATCAGTTAGCTCGTAGTAAAAATAAGTTTTAGCTTAAGACGTCTTTTCCAGAGTGGTTCTAATCTTAGTCTGTCGCAACGCTCATAGTATTCGAGACCACTTTCCAAACCAAGAGTTCTTGAGGTGAATTGTCACTGCACTCCCTCTAATTTAAGCTTGTCAATTTGTCGCAGTCCGCTAAGAATAAACGGGCAGTATTCTAAAATAGGTCGTGCGCATTCTTTGTATAATGAGGAATTCTTTAAATTTTGGTCTGTAGAATCGTGATTGAATTTTTCGCAGTGTTCAGACTCATGTTTAATCCTTGTGCTCTCAAAACATGCATGTTGCTCTCCTGTTGACTGGAGCGACTCATATTTTAGCCTATTACCACTTGTATTGTCAGTTCTATTACATTATTATATTAGAAGATATTTTGCCAAGTTGTCGATAATCTGAGGTTTAGATCTACTCTCATTGATTCTTTATTTTCAGGAGGCAAAACTATGGTATTGGTTTTCGATAGCAACGCAAGACAGATCCAGATTTGGGAAAGAAACCCTTCCATTTCAGTAGACACTGACTTAATTTGTCATTTTCAATTTCGGCTACTTCCAGTCAATCTATATCTGTATAATGCTAATAAATTTTACTAGTTGCCCACATCAAAAGGGGACGACAGAGATAGAAACAGTACTGCGATTAGATGAGCACCATCAGAAACGGTTATATTATGGCTACGACAACCAGGGACTGACAACGTAGGTAGTAGTGAGTGGAAATGCTCATGTGCAGTGATCACGGGGTAGTGGAAAATATCTCTGAAATACAAGAATATGGGAATACTAGGAATATATTTATTCATATCTGTGTAGGTAGAGTGTGGTAGTGTATTCCAACAGGTTGAAACGGTTCGGACAAAACCAACAGGCGCTGAGTGTTAATCTTCCTTCTATTTATATTCATAATAACCAAAGGGCATATTTCTTTTCACAGGAATGATAAGATGGAGGGAGGAAAGCAAGACAGAAGCACCTGAAGATGGCATTTACGAAGTGGAGGCGGTGTTGTGGCTCGGGTCTTGGAGGAGAATGAGCCAGTCCAAAATGAGGGTATTCGGTTTTCAGGTACAACCTAGCTCTTTTCTTCGTGTGAAATAAGGTATCCCTCTTGTAGTTTGATTATTATTACTGATAAGATGTTTTGTCCGTCATCCATGTTCTGCTTTCCATTCATGGTTTGCTATAGTGTGCTTGATTTCTAAATGTCTGTCTGTGAAATCAGTACAGACCAATGATATCATTGGACTCTGAAGTTCGCTCTGTATAGAGCTAAATAAATTAAGTAGTCAGCAGTGACAAGACGACGATAAATCAGAAATTCCGGCACTTGAAAAAAGAACATAGACTTTGCAGTTATTTTTTCTGGAGAATCAAAATAGAAAAGTTTCGTTTGTTTAGCACGACCACAATGGTCAATTCATGTATTACCCGCGCTCTTTGTTTTAACGGTATAATGCGATAACTAATATCCTCGCTCATGAGATTGAGGTCATCTACCTGCAGTAGGAGTCAGGTATGTTAATCGTTAATGCATTTGAATTGCTTAGATTGTTGGGCAAGGGGGGAGTACAATGTAGTATGGCTTAATTTTGAATGAGGCAATTGTCGGGGATTGTACGATCCTCATACACAATTTTGGGTGAATTTATTAACATTTGGTGTTTCCGGGGATCTTGCTAGTAATGTGATGCGCTGCCCATAAAATTTTTCAGGAGTTTTCATATTTAGGTGCCCCTGAAATTATACCCAAATGTTTCCACTTTATATGTATGTATACATGTATATGCATTTACACATTCATGTATATATATATATATATACATTAGTTGAGCCAAGTATATGTGCTCTAATAAGCATTTTTTGACATTTGGAATGATTTTGGGTCCTCTTCAGGGTAATTAATGGGCATTTATGCAGTTCTTTGTGGATGTTGAGACAATTTTAGGTCTATTGGGTTTAAACGAAGAAAATGTCGATACTTTGGTGCAGTCTCCCAAAATTTCGCTACAGGAAGTCTTAACTAGAATACAAGTAATGGTCTTCCGCTTGTCCTTCATGTTCTACTTAGATTAAAGGGTGTGAATAGCAGTATTTAGGCAGGGAGGATAACTTTGGTCAAATACCACTCTCTTGTGCGTAATTTATGACAAAGGCATTTATATATTCATGGGTTGTATCTCTCTTCAATTATTTTTCCTCTGTCATTTAGCCACATTTTAGGCGTAGGTGGGAACATGGCGCACTGGCACCAGTACGTGACATTCTACTAATAGGTTTATGGCTTGTATTTTTCTCCGTATTTGCACCAACCACGATTCATACAGTATAATCTGTTCGACCCACAATAGGTGTGATTGCCGGAGACATTGAAAAGCTGCTTATATCAGATAGGTTCTAAAGATAATGTAGACTTAAATATACGGTCGTATTTGTAAAGATTTGCAATCGCTTTTATAATTAGTTCTCTTCCATCGCCATTTTTGACACCTTCCAACCCTCAAGTGGTCTTGACAAGGAGTAGAATCATAACACGTATTGGATAGAATCAAATAAGGAATTCTCCGACGTCCAACAAGAAATATCAACGTGGAAACATGTAGTAACGTTAATTGATAGCTGGTGGTCTCCCATGGGGTGGGGGTGGAACTGCAAGACAAGCACCCACTGAACCGGATTACACAAGAAATCTCTATAAATGCCCAAGGTGTCACAAAACGAAGGGTTGGGTTAATGAATTATGAATAAATCCTTTGGCCGATAACTGCTACCTTGTCGTGGTGGTCGGGCTTGAATACCGTAATTACCCAACATGCTAAACTGACTGGGACTCTGTCCCTTCAGGTCCTACCATGTCAGGCAGATTGTTTGGATAGCGGTTGAACTAAAAGCAGTTACGATGGGGTACATGGGCTCCAGTATCCAATCGGATCAAATGGCGTATGAACCCATATGGGTCACCAGCAACCATGGGATTGCAGCTCCTGACGCTGCTCCGCTGCCTTGCAGATTAGACTCCAAGTCAAAGGCTCGGGAATGGTCCCTTAATAAAACCACCTGCTTTGGTCTGAGCGTCCGGGCAGTATCTCAGCCGTCACTCAACGAATTGAATGAGGCAACAAACAATCAATGAAACTTATCGCGTGTTGTTACACGTGTTGCAATTTCCTTCTTTCTTCTATTTCCCGATGATAGTTAACGAATACTGTTTGAACTTGTTAGGCATGAATGTTTTCCTTCCATATGAAGTTCTTTATCCGTTCTCTACTTATATATATTTTTCTGTTCTTTCTTTTGATCTATATTTTATTATTATTGTGTGGCGCATCATTCTTGGTGCCATATTGTACCAAGTTTTTATGCGTTTAAATAAAATGAATACAATAAATAAGTGAGAAACAACTATGGGTAACTTAAACCATTTGAACTACCACTAATTGCCTTCAAAGTGACGTTGTTGTAGTACCATTACCGAAGATCTGGACAAAATTTGAGAACCAGATGAGGAACAAACAATGAACGCACTAAATTCATGTCGTTCATGATGAATGACTTGATGTCTCAAGTCCCCACAAATGTAAGGCCTCACTAGATAAAGCAGAGCACCGAAGCATTGCCAAGAATCAACCACTTCTACCCCGGCAATTGAAGGCGATTCAATCATAACAATTTATACCATAGTGTACGCAGTCAGCAGTAAACATGCTGAACAATTTCACTACCTTTCCTGTTGTTTGTTTTTCTCTCGAGGTTGTTGTCATATCCGCTGTAGTGTAGTTACATCGAAATACTTTAGGTTCCTGGTTGGGGTTTGTGAGATATTTGTGTCTGGTTGGTGACCCCTTATTGTTTGTTTGTGAAAAACATCTTGCTAACATCACTCCCCTCCTTGACAATTTCTTATTTGAACAGCCGTTTTCGCAGTCTAATATGGTGTTTCTTGATTTCTTAAGGTGGCGCAGAGGTGGTTCGGGGTTCGATTCCCGGCCGACGCATTCCCGAAGCTCTCTTAGCTAGTATTGAGCCTGGGAAAGAGGGAAGGTTAGGCGTGAGACCAGTAATCCCATCCCGTAAAAAAATCGACACTGTTACCGAAACTTCAAAGCTCTAGCTCGAAGCCCTATATTCCACTGGGGATGTAAAAGAATAAATCTTAAGGTGGTTATTGCTGTCTTTTATGTTAATAGTTATTTTTATTACTTAGTTTGTACTGTGTTTCGAGTATATATTTCCTTTTTTTTTAAAGCCCACTGAATGCACGAAAGATGGATATGTTAAGTCAAAACCTCGTGTCAAAAGCGATATTTGTAAGGAGAAAACGGGTGGAATCTTGAAAACTAATACATCAAATTCCAAAGACTCTATTCCACCAAATTATAATAATGAGGTGAAAGCAAAATGTCATACTAAGGAGAAACTGGGTAGTAAACTTTTCCCATCTCAGGACCCGTATCTTTTCATTGATGATGATGATAAAGAGAATATCGATCCGAATAGTCGTAAACAGACAACTAAAAAGCGTGTTGCAAGAGCAAAAGTAGCTCATTCAGTCAAACCTAGATCAAGGAAGCTTTTATCACCAACACGACCAACAGGACCTGTGAATCAGATCATGTGTCAAGAAGTGAAGCAGTTGTATCTCCTGAGCCAAAGAAATCTTCATGCGTAATGAATCCTCAGGTTGCACTAACTCGCACAGAGTTAAATCAACGGAATAATCTTGAAAGCTCTGCGAGCTCAACTCCTAATGTTGAAAGTAAAAGTCTTCCATCAAATATTACTGACAAACTTGTTGTCGTTGGCGGTGGTGTCTGCTCTTTGCCTGTTATCAGTGGCGTTCCTGATACTCCTGAACATCAGAATAATGTTTCTGTACATACTCCGAATGAATCTATTCCAGTTATCCTAAAACAAGCATTTGTTAATTTAAAGCCACATATTTCTTCAACACCAGCAGCTTCTAATGGAACTGTCATATCACATCCTGAGTTTGCTGCTACTCCAATTAACTGTCCTGTGAATAACAAAAATATTGCTACAACTGATAATAATAACTCTAATCAAATGACTGATAATCAGTCACAAAGCAAGCCGATATCCACTTCAGATGCCTACACTAATACGAGTGAAGATAACTCTTCTTCTAAGGGTAAGATTTTAAGCATTATAATGATTTTATTTGCTTTTGGTATTGTTTGTGCCTGCTCTGGAGTTGTAGGCTTTTGACGTTTCAACAGTGTGAGAAGGATCTATTCCTAAACTGTGGTGGGTTTTTATTTCACTACTGTTATCTTTTTCACATCTGTAACATGTGAACCATACGCGTATGTCTTGGGATAGTGACACCCTCTGTCTTCTATGTAAAAATATGATATAAATACTGCTAGACATCACTTGGAAAATCCTGTTGCTAGTATGTGCTGTGATTTAGGAAAAAGTGGTAGTAAATTTGTGGATATTTTATTCCCTGCAGGTTTTTTTTACGAAGTTTCACAGATTTATCATGTACTGTCCTTGTTACGAAGATGACTGAGTCTTAGAACGATGAGTGATGCTTGAATCTTGAAAAGACGAATGAACCAAGAATTTAGGCTTTATTCATTTTACAATGAAGCCGGAATGGCTTAAACCTATAAAGGGAAAAAAGAGTGTTAATAGCGGTAGAGATATAAATATGATTAGATACGTATTATAAGAAAAGTTCACAACATTCACTGCGGCTTGAAAAGGAATGAGCCATTATGTCACGCTTCTCTGGTACGCAAATTGTAAGGCCGTACACGTTGTTGTTTTTCCAAAAGAATACGCCCGTTGTTCGTTTCAGTTGTATTTTCTTCACGAAGAATATTAGGATCAGTGGTCGCATCCCCATTTACTTGTTGCTTAGGAATTGCGTCGCCCTCCGGTATTGAATTTTCAAATTGATCAATATCTTCGCCTTTGGGTGCCAGATGATGAAGAGCAACTGTATCTTTACGTCCATTACCGAAGCGAACGTGAGCAAATTGCGGGTTACAATTCAATAGCTCCACCTCTTCAACCAGGGGATCGAATTTGGACTGACGAACACTCCACCGGAGAAGTCCTGGTCCTGGTACAGTGAGCCAAGTAGGAAGAGTTGTCCCAGATATCGATCTTCGGTTATAGGTAAACAGTCATTCGTGTGGCGTGGCGCTCGTTGCAGTACAGAGCAAAGATCTGATGGAATGCAAGGCGTCGAGTAGGACAGACTCCCATTGTGCCGTTGGTAGACCCCGTGATCTTAATGCTAGAGTGATGGCACGCCAAAGTGTTCCATTGAGGCGCTCGACCTTCCCATTGGCTTGAGGATTGTATGAGGCAGTACGACTGGTCGCTACGCCTTTCTCCAGAAGAAATGCCCGTAATTCGGTAGACATGAAAGCAGCGCCTCTGTCGGTATGTATGTAAGAAGGCATACCGAAAATCGAAAACAGTTGGCAAAGGCAATTCATTACCGTTTGAGACGACATGTCGGGGCAGGCGAATTCAAAGGGGAATTGAGAATATTCATCGATCAGCGTGAGCAGATAGTCTGTCTGTCTGTTTTCGACATAGAACATTGCACAAATGTGCGGAAGTTCAAGTCGCCACATTCCGTGTAGCACGCAAAGCAAGAGAAGAAAGTACAAGAAAAGCATAATAGAAACAGTGAGCAGAGGGGTGAGACAAAGGAGTAATAAAGAAATACAAAACAGTTTCATTGAAGATCATAAGTCACAGGGAGTGGATGCATCTGCGCCACTGAGAACGGTTTTGAGCCATGTCACCAATTGTTTCCAACCATTGGTTTTTACCGTCCTGAGGACTCCAACCAGGAAGTCTTCACCTTCCTACGTGTCTTAGACTAACTTGTAGATTTCATTGGCTGGTGCCATGTTTTGGTTTGGCCGCCGCTAGCTTTTTTCCAGCCTGACCCTATATCCGCTAACATTGCTCGTCGGTCGAGGAAGGCGATGACTGGGCATACGTAACACATGTCCTAACCATCTCAGTCTTTGTAACTTCACAACTTCATCAATTGATTTCCCCTGTTTACCTAGTACTCGACGCCTAACCTCAATATTGCTCACCTTATTATGCCACTTCACACGGGAGATAAAACGCAGGCACCTATGATCAAAGACAGCTAGTCTTTTCATGTCTTCCACTCTCAGTGGCCAGGTTTCACAGCTGGCCATAAAGGAGGACGGAGCGGACTGATGAGCAGTACACCCACCCTTTGGTCGATAGTGATTGCGGCTAGCTGACGGCAGAGGTCCTTTAAAGTCGATGCTTAACCTTTCAAAAGGTTGGGTTGCTTTTATGAGTTTGAAATTAGAGGTATTGCAAAATTGAGGCTTTAACTCACAGCATGTCACGCATTTACTGGTTACATTGCGCACCTCGTCAAGGGAGAATGGAAGGTTTCTCGAGCGTACAAAATGCATCATTCGGACAACTCCTGGATGGCACATAGAGTCATGGAGAAATTTTAAGTCGCACACTGACTGCAAGGAACCGCAGAAACTACGGGAAAATGTATCAGCAGCTTGATTATCCCTTCCAGGACGATAAATGATGTCATATATTGATAAGGGGATAGTTCAATTCTCCAACGCATTATTTTATCGTTCTTGATTTTGCCTTTATGAATCTTGTCAAACATGAATGCTACTGAACGTTGGTCAGTGACAAGTTTGAAGTGATTTCCGAGCCATCGCCTCCCTCGACGAGCAATGTTAGCGGATATAGGGTCAGGCTGGAAAAAAGCTAGCGGCGGTCAAACGAAAACTTGGCATCAGTCAATGAAATCCACAACAGTTGGTCTAAGCCACGTAGGAAGGTGTAGACTGGCTTCCTGAATGGGGTCCTCGGGACTGTAAAAATCTATGGTTGGAAACAATTGGTGACATGGCTCAAAATCGTTCTCAATGGCTGGTGCAGATGCATCCACTCCTTGTGACTTACGATCTCCAATGAAACTGTTTTGTTCTTCGTTATTACTCCTTTGTCTCACCCCTCTGCTCACTGTCTCTATTATGCATTTCTTGTACTTTCTTCTCTTGCTTTGCGTGCTACACGGAATGTGGCGACTTGAACTTCCGCACATTTGTGCAATGTTCTATGTCGAAAACAGACAGACAGACAGATTTCCGAGGAGGTAATGGTTCCACTTACGAATTGCTTCAACCACGGCATAGGCTTCTTTCTCAACCGATGAATGATGTTTCTCACTTCGAGAGAGGCTTCGAGAAAAGAAGGCGACAGGTTTACCATTCTGGTTTAATGTAGCTGCAATTGAGACATCTGAAGCATCTGTTTCAACAACAAGGGGTGCTTTCGGATCAACTACCACAACGACTGCACGTTCTAAGTCGTCTTTCAGTTTGTCAAAAGCATTTCGAGTTTCGATATCAAGAGGGAAAATCCGATTATTTACCAATGGGTGGATTTTATCTGAGAAGCGAGGGATCCACTGTGAATAATAAGCAAATAATCCAACGGCCCGTTGTTGAGATTTGATATCTGTGGGTGGTTCTAGATCACGAAGAGGTTTTAGCCGATCGGGATCTGGTTTAATAACCCCTTTGAAACTTCATAACCGAGTAATTGTATGCTTCTGCTTGAGATCACACTTTTGGAATCATTAAGGGTTATTCCATAATTGCGTGCTGCTACCATAAACTTGTTTAGATTTTTGTCGTGTTCCTCCTGAGTTTTGCCGCAGATAGTGACATTGTCAATGTAGGCAAACGTGCTTGTGAGTTGTTCTTTACTGATCAATTCATCGATAATGCGTTGAAAACAAGCTACGCCATTGGTAACACCAAAAGGAATTCGGCAAAATTGGTAAAGTTTCCCACAAGCCTCGAAAGCAGTATATGGTTTATCTTCGTTCCTTAGGGCAATTTGATGATAAGCATTCTTCAGATCAAGAGTGCTGAATATGTCATATTGTGCGATTTTTTCTATCATTTCGTCAATCCTAGGTAATGGGTAAGCATCCAGAAAAGTGAATCGATTGATTGTCTGACTATAATCAACTACCATCCTCTTTTTATGGCGTTCGTTTGACGTAACAAGAACTTGAGCTCGCCAAGGAGAATTAGAAGGTTCAATAACACCTTCTTGCAGTAACCGGTTGACTTCGGTGGAAATAAAACTTTCATCTTCACGAGAATAACGCCGGGATTTTATCGCGATCGGTTTACAGTCTTTTGAAAGATTTTCAAACAGAGTAGGCAGGTCGACGCGAACACAAGGTAGACCACAGAGAGAAAAAGGCGGCTTTGATCCCCCAAAAGGAATCTCAATGTGTTTGTGAAGTTTTAAAAAATCATGTCCAAGAAGGACGTCTGCACATAAATTATGAAGAATGGAAAATTTGAATAGATCATAAGTGTGGTTTTTATAGCAGATGGATAGAAAACAATGTCCTTCAGTATGACTAGTAAGATTCGTACTCGCCATTGTGATTCTGTTTCGAGACTTATGGACTTTCCAGTTATACTTACGAACAACTGAGGAAGAGATGTAGCTCTCACTGCTTCCGGTATCCACTAGAGCTTGCATTGATTTCCCATTGACAGTAAGCTGCGTAACAGCATCAGTGAGACTTTGAGGTGCTGAAGCCACAACGAGAGATGAAATTATAGAGTTAACTGAAGATGGACCTTTTTTCGTAGATGGCGCAGACCTGCAAACCTTCTGAAAATGTCCTTGCTTGCCACAAGCTTTGCAAACTGCATCACGGGCGGGGCATTTGGAACGAGGATGTCTACGATTACCACAGAAAAAGCATTTGGATTCAACGGCAGCAATGGTTGTTTCATTGACGGAGGGTGTGGAATCTGATGAATGAGGTACATCATGTAAAGAAATGGACGCGCAAGGTGTAACAGGATTGTTGTATGACTGCGATTGTTGATGTGCCATCTCTAGAGCTCGTGCTTGATCGTATGCCGCTTGAAAAGTTAAAGTACGCTGTTCTAATAGCCTCTGGCGTATCATCGAAGACTGTATACCTGAGATGAATGAATCACGTAGAGATTCGTTACGATGTTCTTCGGCTGTAACTGCCTGAATGAACAATCTGTAGTCAGCGACTTGAGTCGACGAACAAACTGATCCAGATTTTCGCCAGATTCT